AACAATTGTTACCAGACCGCTGTCCCTCAAGTTGAACACGTCCTAGACGATCCACAGCCTTGCAGTTGGCCTTGGTAAATGTTACATCCAGACCCTCATCACACAATTGACTGATGCTAATCAGATTGGCCTTCAGTCCATCCAGAAACACATTATGTAAGCTTGGTTGAGATTCACCAACTGTGGTACCTTTTCCTCTGAATTTTCCTTTTGCACCATCTCCAAAAGAAACTCTGCCTGCTGAAACCTGTTCAAACTCTGACAGATTGTCTTGAGCTCCAGTCATGTGTCTTGAACATCCACTGTCAAAATACCACTTCTCCTGAGTTGACTCATGTTCATCAGCAGTGTAAGCAACATTGCAGTACAGATATTCCTTTCTAATGTAAACTCTGTTCGTATTCTTAGAATCCCTGTGATACCGCTGATGCTGCATCATTGCAGACACACGATTCAAAAATCCATAGCATTGTGCCTTGTAGTGATTCAGATTACCACAATACCAACAACCTGTTCTTCTGCTACGGTGAAGACGAAACACAGAACCGTAAGCTGACTGAACCTGTTCAAGAGGAGCCAATCTAGATTTACGACCGTGAGCTGATTGTTCTTGATTAGATGAGGACACAACACGTCTCTGATTCTTCTGAGAAACAGACTTCCTTTGAGTAGCTTCTGCTGACTGCGGAGCTGCCTTAACAAACTTAGTTGTATCATTGAAGTTTCCACCTTGATACCCTAAACCCCACTTGACATTAACCGTTCGTCCCACAGTTAGGAGTTTGTCCAGATCTTTAGTCACTTTGCTCAGCATCTTGATGTTTCTGAGTTGATCCGCCAACTGCCTCTCAAGACCCTTCGACTTGACTTTCTCAGCTTCAAGATCCTTGGATATCATAGAAACTTACAATTGAAGTTCATTTCTTTAAGTGGTTAGATCAGCGATCTCCTTTGTCTTGTTCATCAGACTCCTGATCAAAAGAGCAACTTGTTCTTCAGTTGGAAGATTTTCTTCATCATCCTCTGATTCATCACCAACGACCTGATTAACATCCTCCTGAGCTGTCACACCAACACTCTCATCGTCTTCCTCAATGATACCCAAAAATGCCACAAAATTGTTTAGCACTTCTCCTTTTCTTTCATCTTCATCAGTATCACTCTCACTCCAAGTCACATACGATTTCTCTTTCGAGTCTCTTCCTAGGCATTCAGCCTTGGTGTGACCATAGACCTTACACTCATAACATTTCAGTGCATTTTTCTTCTTCATATTCGGACATTCAGCCTTGAAGTGTCCATAGCCTTCACACTTAATACACTGTTTATCAGACTTATCACTCCTCTTGAATTCTTTCTGCTGCCATGATCTGTTGTTGACTGCAGACCCACGTTGCTGACTTCGTTCCATTTTCTTGAAGTACTTTCTCACAAGCATACCAACTTTATCATCATCTGCAGATTCCTGAGTTTCAACAGTATTCAGTTCGAAAGTTTTTCCACTCGCCTGCTCCTTTTTCTTAACTTGTAGCTCATATGCGTGCATCATCCCAACTACTTGATCGAATTTCAACTCATCAGAATTCAACGAGACATCAATTGCAGACCTATGTGGCTGAAACTTCTCTAGCAAACTTCTGAGAAATTTTTTAACCAACTTCTTATGTTTATAACGTTTTCCCAACACTGTAGCCTCTTGAGAGATGTTACTCAGCTTGCTGCTGAATTCCTCAATAGTCTCACTATCTCCCATAGTCAAGTTCTCGAAGTCAGATGCTAAGATGTCAAGTATGGTTCTCTTCACATTGCTGGTTCCTTCGAAGGTGACCTGAAGGATATCCCATGCCTCTTTTGCAGATTCACATCCCTGAACTCTGGTGAACTGATTCACAGGCAGCGATTTGAAGATTAAGGACAGAGCTGTTGCGTTGTGTTTTGCTGCAAGTTTCTCCTCTGCAGTCCAATCCTTCTTGGGTTTCGAAACAGCATCTCCAGCCTCGTTTGTTTTCACAGGGGCTGTCCATCCATCTTCAACAGCTATCCAGGCATCAAGATCAGCACTCTGAATGTCTTGTCTCAGCTGCACCTTCCAGAACCCGTAATGTTCTGGATCCAACTTAAACGGCTTAGTTATAGCAACGTAGTGCTGTGATTTCTCCATACCCTCTGTTGCAGGATCTCACCTGTTGAAAAGATAGCAGATCTTTTATCAGGCGTCTGCTCTGATACCAAATGAAAACGTATGGAGAGACACACAGACAGTTACGCTTGGAACGCGCCAAGCAAACGCTTTTTCCTTCGATCTTTATTAACAAAATTTATCTTTTCCTAGGATACAATTTTGTCTCGGCTCTTACTCAATCTATTCCTCCCAATAGAATTGAACCCGACTAAAGAACGAGCACTAAACCTTTCTCTCCTACACCCGTGTAGTCCCAAGAGAAAACTAACACTCACCTTCTCAGCTTTTTGTTTTTCTAGCTTCGAAGTTTACAATCACGTACAAAGAGTCTAAAGTGTTCAAAGTGGCTCGTGGCCAAACACTTGACTATTTATACTCACTACTCGAAACCCTAACCCTAGGATCTTCGAGGATCTCACGGAAACGGAATATGCTTGCTTGTCAAGCTTATCCTTTCCTTATTTTATGTGAAGAATATTCACCATATCTTCACACGCAATTCGTCTCTATCTTTGCTGCCAAGCAAGAAATCTTCCTTAGCACGTCACTCCATCCACTTAAGCTTTGCCACGTCATCTCACGACTCCATGTCAGCAACTTCAAGTGTCTGATGTGATCACAGGCGTCTGATGTGGTCTCAGGCGTCTGAACAGATGCAGCTTCCTGATCTCCACAGCAAGCTGTTCTGGAACTGCATCTTCATATGGATGCCAAAAGCTTCCAGAGAGATGCAATCAACTGGCTCCCTCACGAAGTCACGATGTTCTTGGAAAAATCTTGTCATATCTTACGACAAAACATGCCGTTTCAACATCTCTTCTCTCCAAAAAGTAGAGGTATATCTTCGACTTGTGGATCATATCGAATTTGATGATTCTTTCTCCCTGCAAGTTCAAGAACCAAGGTACATATGTTTCAAGACACCTTCAAGCACTTTCTGCGCGCCCAAGTGCTTTACCAACCTATTTATGTGTTCACGGAAGGATTCAAGAATATTTTTGATCGAACATTAGCTTTGCAATGTGATTATCCTATCAAGAAACTCACTCTAAGATGTCACGTTAGCAAGGACAATGACTTCCCAGAGTCTTGTGTGGTCTGCTGGATATTTAATGTCGTGGAACAAGGTGTTTTGGAACTAGACTTAAGGATAACAGTTGGTGGTGAACATTTTCTGCTCTATCGATAAGATGTTGACATATGTCATTTCTAAAACTATTAAAATATTTTGCAAAACAAAATTGAAAAAGTTGTAAACCTATTACAAAAATAAATATATACATAATTTTTTTTTTCCTATACTAAAAAAATTAAACATAATCTTTCTCAGTTATAGTAGAATCCAAAACTATGTATATGTGAATGAATGAATATGTGAGTTGTCTCCGTCACATTTTGTTCAAAACCAACCTTTTCCCCTCTTCTTTCCTTTCTTATCTAAATATTAGTACTTAACTTTTTGGATTCTATTACATTTGTCTTTTCAGTATAGCACATACTTCCCAATTTAAATTGTAATACCACTTTTATTTTTTCGATGAAAAATTAACATCAAAGAATTTATTTTTGATCTCTTAGGTGTTAATTAGATGAATGCAATTTATATATGTTACACGTTTTTTTGTTTTTAAAGGAAGGTTCTTGTAAAAAGATATAGTAGAATCCAAAACTATTTCTCTTATGGAATAAGAAGCAGAAGGTTTGGTGTTATATACTGAGGAATGTTTCGTAAAGCTTTAACATATGATTAGTGGCTCACATACATACATGACACATCCTTAATTTGGATACAAGTTCACTTTGGAAGTTATCCTTGTTCTTTTTTGGTTTTATTTTTTTTTATCTTTCTCAGCTATCGCAATAATAATGTATGCATTCATGTAGTGTAAATATAGATGTGTAGCGCTTGGGACGAGACCATATAACATGCTTTGGTCTCGAGCCTTAAGGGATGTATAGGCTTCGGTCCAGAACTTCTTTAATTATTTAAAAAAATAAAATAAAAGGTAAATATAGATGTGGAGGTCTTTTTTTTTTTAACTCGACTGTAATGTTTTAATCGGTTAAATAATCTATTGTAACCATTTTGGGTTTATCAAAGCTCATTAGAGCCTTGTCGTCATTCAAAGACAAAGAAGTTGAAAAAGTAGAAACTAAAGAACGATTTGGTGAACATGAGGATTGTTCTGCTAATCCTTTCTTTCTGCCTCTTGTTACAGGTAGCCATTCCAGAGAGGTGGGCTTGGATGTTGATGGGCTTCTGTTGGGCTTCGGTGTGGTCCAAGTCAATAATCTCAAATCGTTACAATCTAAATCCTCTTCGAATCTTTTGTGAACTTTTTGAAGAAATTTCAAAACATTAGCCAATGATCCTTTGCTTCTGCTCTCGTCTTTCTTTGCTTCTGCGTATCATTCAGACTTACTACAACGGTCTCTGAAATATTTGTATCTAGTGATCCACAACAAGTTTCTCTTGTCATAAGGCCAAACATCAACCGTATCATCCACAATCAGAACTCTACTCTTATCAGCCTTAACAAGATCAAGTGTCTTGTGGTTAGGACATGCTTCTTTCGTTACGACTCGGTCTCCAAAGTATACTTTATCCGGATCAATCAACTTCAACACCGTCTTAGCGTAACTGGAATTTCCCATTGTGTAAATGTGCATGGTGAAAAGCTTGTTGGCTTCTAATAGAAACTCATGAAGAAAAGGTCGTAGCTTTATCATAAATTCATTGCCTCTCCATAAATCTAGCCTTGAGTCAGCTTCTTCGAGTAGATACTTCTCCTTTATAGAAAGGTCAGAAACAAGCTTCGAGTGGATAAGCGTGTGGTCCAAGTCAAGGACTAGGTGAAGCATCTTCTTATTCTTATCGTTGTTGGGACATGCAAAGCTTGAGACAGACATTGTCAAAGAAGAAGCCTATGAACTGTAGCAAAATAATTTTAGGAAAACCCTAGAGAGGATACAACGAGTGGCTTAATCTTTGTATATATAGAAAAAGAGGATATGGAAATAACCAAAAAAAACGGAAACTGAAGTTAGTGAAAAATAGAAATATCAACATAATGTACAATAGATATATCAAAATAGAAAAATAGAAATTTCAGAAATAGAAAAATAGAAGTCACACTTGTGTTTGAGCATTCTCTGTGTGTTAATGTTAGTGTTGATTGATCAAGAAAAGTTTAGCTATCATCCTTTATCCATTTAAGTCATTGGAATCTATATTAACATATTTGAAATACCTTTTGTGTTCTACCCTTTTATTTTGTGATATTTTCATAATTAACCCCTTGTCGTTTGATTAAATAGAAAAAGTTTAAGATAAATTTTATAATTAAATCATAATAAAATTGCAAAATTAGAAATCAATATTTATTACATTTAATAAATTTCTTAAAATCTCTCCCTAATAAATCAAATATTTCTCCAACATCTTTATATGATCTTATTTGTTTTTAAATTTATATTATTACATAAATGTATGTATAATAATTAATAAAAATATAACTTTTTTTTTGCATATGTTGCAATTTAAATTTTTAGAAACGGATGTATATTACTCAAACAATACAAAATAGATGTACTAAAGTATTGTTGATAATTGTGTATCACGGGTCATGTAATGGAACGTGTTATAATTTACATAATTATGATTATACATATTTTTACGGGTGGTCTACTATAGTATAACTCACAAAATATTTTAATATGAAATTATACTATGTAAACAAATATTATGTGAATATCATTTTATTATTTTAAATATTATAATTATTTAATTAATATAAAGAATAATTATCATATAATATTCTACATGTTAAATCGTAGAATTAACAATAAAAATATAACTGTACACTCTTATATACCAAAAAAAATTAATAAAAAGAATACATTTTAGGAATGTCGTCTCGCGGTGTACCGCGGGTTAAAATCTACTTGATTTTCTATAATCTCAGTCCAGACACAGAACTTTACGAAACTGATGTTAACTAATACATCTCATTAAGAGTTAAGACGCCAAACCCATCAAATGTTTCAAGACTGAGACACTAAACAAGTGGATAAAGTCATAAAAAATACCTAATAAACATGGTCTCCGTCGATGCATACGAACTTGTGTATCATATAAAGTAAAAACTCAAAAAAACTGAGAAGAAGAAAATGACAAAAAAGAAAGCTAAGAAACATGCATGATCAAGATTCAAGATCAAGAACGCCGAGGGAGCGGATTTAGCCAGCGTGGGAGCACGCACGTTGAAAAGTAGAGATCATGAGTACCACGGTAAACACCATTGACATAAATTGAGTAGATAGAGTCCATATACTCCTTGCAACCACTACATGTCATGATGCAACCATCTAAAGAGTACTTGTTGTCCACCTCATCTTCCAATGATGACTCCTCTCTGTGAAGAGTAAACTTGTATGTCAACAAGTTTAACGTCACTATAGCGTTAATGTTCCTACTCCAAAGGTATATGATCTCATAGTTCAAAGGATGCATCACTACAGGGAAATAATCAACACCGAACTCGAAATCCGGGTTAACTTCCCACGAGAGTTCCCATGCATTAGGATGATCATCCGTAGAGATTAGCCTCCAAACCTTGATTGTAGGGAATCCATTATACGAGCTAGAAACGTTGCAATACACAACAAATCCTTCAGACGTTGAGATTGTTCTCTTGAAACTCCGACTTTGTAGATGTTCTTGAATATCAGGAAAAGGTATTGTATGACACACATCACCTCCATTGTAGAAATCATAGGATAAAACATGACTTGCATCTATGTTGTTACCATAAGAGGAAAGCCAATGGAGAATCCCGTTCAAAGAAACCGAATACTTTAGTCGGAACCAAATCAAGACACGAAGAGAATGCACATCTTTGGTTTCCCATACTCCTGTTTCAGAAGAATATACCAAAAAAGTGAGTCTAGTAGATACAATACATGAGGCCAACATCCACACTACCTTGTAACCCACGACAATACCCTTTTCCATCTTTGTTACCAATCCAGTGTCACTGAATAACTTGTTCTCTTGTAACCTCACGACATCGAAAACCGTGAGATGTGGAGGAAGAGGGATTTGAACCCATTGTTGCAACAAAGGGTTTCCTACATGATACATTGGTGAACCTTCTAGGGTTTCGCTATAAAGCAATACAATCCCATCCGTGCAGCTCAAGACACAAGTTTTCCTCACTGGTGTGTCGGTTTTGTGATGCATGTAAGAGCCTAGGGACTGAGTAAGTCCCCATCTCTTACATCCATGGTGTCCTACAATCTCTAACCCCAGTGTTTGGTTCCTTCTGTTCATGATTGACCATGAGACAGAGGAGGAGGAGGACGAATTGAGTGACTCATACACTTCTCGAAAATACTCAGTATTGATTATCGATTTCCATTCTTTGGACACTGATATGAATCTTGCAATGCTTCTCAATGATATACGAGCCAAAATGTTTACCAACACTTCCTCTACAATCACCAATTTTATTTTTTTTCTCCATTCCAGATCAGTTTTAGGGTTTTCTCGCAAAGTTTTTGCATAAGGTCGTTGAAAAGATAAGATTGATCATTTATATAGTTCTCTCCATCATACCATGTAAGTATGTAACTTATTCAAAATAACAATAATTATAGAATAGAAAAATGATATTTTCGGATTATATTTATAATTATTTCACTAAATGATCAAAAAATAAATAATTCATATTCATATCAGTCGTAAATTTCTAAACTAAATTTACTTTTTTTATTACTTACTAGGTACTACTAACCCACGGTAAACTGTGGGCTGAACTCTTTATTTGATATAAAATTGTAATATTCTATTTTGTTATTATTTAATTGAATATTTTTGTATCTCATAAATATATTTGTATATCCAAAAACATTATATATTTGTTTGGTTATTTTGAGATTTTATTTATAGTTTATAGATTATCTTTCGATATTTTACCAAAAAAACAAAACATTTACGGTTTTATATATTTAATTTGTTTAATTATTATTTTTATTATATTATTACCCTTCATGTTTAAACTTTTTCTATAAGCATTTCATTGTAAATTCTTACAATTTATAATATTATTTTTTATTTGTGTACCTCTCAATTAATATAGTATATATATATATATATATATATATATATATATATATATATATATTACCAAATTACTTCCGAGAAAATTTTAAAATTAAATTCACTTCAGCTTATATACTAAATAAAAAATTTGGGTATACAAATTGAATTTTGAAAATGTTTTCGTATAAATTGATACTATATGTTCATATAGGTAGAAAATGCACTCTTCAAATTGTTTTGATAGAAAAAAAGTTATTTTATCGTTTCCGTGTGGGGTGTGTGAGAACTAAAGCAGACAGATACGAGTGGTGTTTGGTAAAGAAGACTAAACTAAGGACTATATAAAATACATTTGTAATATCTTGCTTATCACGAGGTGGTCTTTGATTGATACGCCTAAACTAATAATTAGAGGTGTTATAATAATTAGAGGTGTTAGCTGTACACCATTTCATTGTATCATTACACCTAATACTGTATATCCCAAAACTATATTATCAAATAAATGCTATGATAAGGCAGCCAAGAACAGAAAAATAGATTTATATTTGCCATTTTCGATTTAGAAAAAGTGTCGTTTTAATGTTTTGTTTTTGATCGGAAGAGAATCAGTGGTGAGACTTTTTTTACTGTTGTTTATGTTTAAATGCAAATTTTTAAATTACATTTCAGTTCTATCCCTAGCTTTTAGCTTATTAATTAGAGAGAAAATTGATTTTACTGTATTAGTTATGGGTAAAAATAAGGGTAAAAAATTAAGAAAATACCAAAAACCTTATATATATAATGATTATCCTATAATATAGAAAGTTAATAAAAATCTAAAATGTGAATCAAAATTTTAAAACCTAACATATATTCTTCGATTAGTGAAGGAAAAGTTTATGTTCAACGTCCACATTAGCCAATATATGTTTTTTTAACAATAACTCATAGTCATATTAGTGAGACATGTTTTGTTATGTCCTTAAATAATTAGCTTTTCGTCTCTATCATTAAGATTTTGTTCTTCTTCGATATCTTCTCTTGTGACATGTTTTTGACATTTTGCTGTGTCCTTAATTATTGTGAATTATTGGCTCTCTTCTCTTGATCAATTAAAAATTAATCCGATCACGTGTGCTTTAGTAATATATCAAATAAATCAACTCATCAAACTTCATATAAGGGTGTCTATACTTCTTTTTGAGTTCTTGAATATTTTGTTCCGTTGTTTTGTTTTGTTACATTTATAATTTGGGAAACGAAATGGATTCAAAGTTCCATGCTTTTATGTTCCCATGGTTTTCTTTTGGCCATATGATTCCTTTTCTACATCTTGCAAACAAACTAGCTGAGAAAGGTCACCGGGTCACTTTCTTGGTACCCAAGAAAGCTCAAAAACAGTTGGAACCTCATAACCTGTTCCCAGAGAGTATTGTCTTTCACCCTCTCACAGTGCCTCATGTCGATGGCCTCCCTGTCGGTGCCGAGACAACCTCGGATATCTCAATCTCAATGGACAACTTGTTGTCTGAAGCCTTCGATCTTACTCGTGATCAGGTTGAAGCTGCGGTTCGTACTTTAAAACCAGACTTGATCTTCTTCGATTTTGCTCACTGGATTCCAGAATTGGCTAAACAACATATGATCAAGAATGTTAGTTACATGATAGTATCTGCAACAGCTATAGCTCATACACTTGTCCCTGGTGGTGCATTAGGTGTTCCCCCACCGGGTTATCCTTCATCTAAGGTGTTGTTTCGTGAAAACGATGCTCATACCTTAGTAACTTTGTCGATCTTTTACGAGAGACTTTATCATCAGCTTACTACAGGTCTTAAGAGCTGTGATGTCATTGCACTTAGGACATGCAACGAAATAGAAGGTAAATTCTGCGACTATATATCGCGTCAATACAATAAGAAGGTTCTCTTGACTGGTCCACTTCTACCTGAGCTAGACACAAGTAAACCACTAGAAGAACATTGGAGCCAATTTCTGAGAAAGTTCCCACCGGGCTCAGTAGTGTTTTGTGCACTTGGAAGCCAAATCGTTCTTGAAAAGGATCAATTCCAAGAACTCTGTTTAGGGATGGAGTTGACAGGTTTACCGTTTCTTATAGCAGTAAAGCCACCGAGAGGCTCATCGACGGTCCAAGAAGCTTTACCAGAAGGGTTCGAGGAGCGCGTGAAGGAGCGTGGTGTGGTATGGGGGGGATGGGTGCAGCAGCCTTTGATATTGTCTCATCCATCAGTAGGCTGCTTCGTGAGCCATTGCGGTCCGGGAGCAATATGGGAGTGCCTGATGAATGATGTTCAAATGGCTTTTATTCCATTTTTAGGTGATCAAGTTCTCTTCACAAGATTGATGACCGAGGAGTTCCAAGTCTCTGTAGAAGTGTTGAGGGAGAAAACTGGATGGTTTTCAAAGGAGAGCTCGAGAGATGCGATCAAGTCTGTGATGGATAAAGATAGTGAACTTGGGAAGCTAGTGAGGAGTAACCACACCAAACTGAAGGAGGTACTTGTTAGTCCTGGACTATTGGATGGTTACGTGGATAACTTTGTGGAGGCATTGGTTGATTTGATCAATGTTTAGAAACATGATTAAATCTAATATTATATGCTTTGTAAGATTGGGGAGACAAGAGTTCAGAGTTCTTCTTGACTCAAACTTTTATTTTATGATGAATATTTTTTTTTTTTGATTTTATCTTAAATTTATACCAAATAATAAGAGGTTTACAGTTTACAAAGAAACCCCAAAAACATACCTAGCTCTTACAGAGAAAGAGAAGTTAGTAACATTTCTTTAAATAAATGAGCTTTAGCCACACTTAAATGTGGTTTTCAATCTTTCATACACCCAAAGTAAAATCGTTTTGCAAATCGTTTTGCACTCTCATGCTGAAGTTGATTTCGACACCTATCAAAATTCTCTAGGTCTTTGTCATTTTATAAAAAAGGTTGTAATCACATTGAAGTGTTACATTCATGGTATTAAAGCTCATGGAAGCAAGATCCATAGCATCTTATATAGTTCCTTCGCTAAACATTTCTATTTGTGTTACGGTTACTCTTACGCAGAAAAAACTACATTCTATGGAAAATCAGTTCGAGTTGTTCATGGTCGGCCAAGGCTTACTATGGTGCGTCGCTTTGGTGTATCTCTGCGCCAAGTGCCATTGTGGTTACTCGTGACAACGATGGATCTAGAAAGGAGACTCCAAGTTGTGCCAGCATAATCTTTGTGACTATTACAATCTTTTATTTATTTAGAGTTTTGTGCAAATAAACTCCCTCGGTCGCTATTTTTTTTTGTAACTTTATCATTTAAATCCAGAAAATACAAGTCAATCCTGCAAAATCAAAATAAATACGTAATATACCCTGTTTTTGCTACTATAACGTTTGTAAAAAATTCAGAAATAATATATCAAATCGAAGACCTCGTGACTAGAAGTTTTAAAATATATTTTAAGTTTTCAAAAAAAAATGTTTGTGAGTGTACAATCGGTTAGAAAAATATATTTTTCTGGTATAAAAGTTGTATTATATTGCGCATTATTCTTAACTTATAATTATTGTTTTGTATTTTTTGGATATGGAGAATAGAGTTGCAAAAATTGCACAAAAACTCTTTTATTGATATATATCCTAAACAAATACAAGGTGAGGCTTTGATTTCTCTCTACCTAAACGGGTCTGGTTCAATTTACAACGGTAATAAGTTTCGTAATTAGTCCTTTGTAAATGTCAAAGATCTTTTGTTGCAACGACATTAGGAGCTCTACTCATGGTGAAATTTTCAAATTTACATATTTGTAAAATATCGATGAGTGAGTTTATGAGGGGGTTTTCTTTTTCTCTGTTGGTGTATGAATTAGCATCAACGACATACCGGCTTAAATCAAGACGAAATCGAATTAGACCAATAAATCGGGGAATCTCGGTTTGGTGTTTAATGCGGTTGTGCGTTCATTCCTAAAATGTAATGAACGACCTCGTACCATTAGGGTTTCGAAAACCCTAATTAAATATTTATGACAATATTCTTTGTAAATCTAAGGAATGAGAGCATTTATTGTAACCCTAAATCCTTTGTATAAATAAAGAAAATGCCTCCATTTTTAGGGCATCGATCATTAATACCAGAAAAACCCTAGTTTTTCATTTGTTCTTGAGCAAACCCTAAATCGTTCATTTATAGGTCAAAGTAATTCTTCTAAAATCTGTTTTAATCGAGTTCTTAAGAGATTGTTCAAAGTAAATTTATTCTCCTTCCATTAATAAATTCATTGTGTGAATCCTTGTTTCAACATTCTGCATCAATTACACATTTTAGATTTGTATATATAAAAGATTGAGATGGTCACAAAGATGATGTCGACTCAACTGGTATTTGATATGCTTTAAGTATGCTGATGGTTGCAGCTTATATACTAAATATAAAGTTTGGGCATGAAATTTGAATTTTTACGATGTTCTGTTTAAATTGATAGTACGTATATGTCTACATAGATAGAAAATGCACTCCTGAAATTGTTTGGATAGAAAAGTCATTTTTGTTTACGAGTAGGGATGTGTGAGAACAAGACAATCAGTACTGACTGTTTAATTTAGAGTATTCTTAGCATAAAATTTGTTAAGAAATGGTTCTCATATAGAAGTTATTTTTTTTTAACAAATCCTAAGCTAAAAACGCTCTAAGAGACCGTCAAATAATGATGCTTAACATAGATATGAGTGGTGTTTGGTAAAGAAGACTAGACTAAGGACTAAATAAAATACATTTGAAAGATCTTGCTTATCACGAGGTGGTGTTTGATTGGTAAGTCTAAGCTAATACATTTGTAAGGTTTGGGATATCGATAATAATAATAATTAACTCGTATTATAATAAGTAAAGGTGTTAGCTGTAAACCATTTCATTATATAATTACATTTACACCTACTACTACTAATAATTAAAGTTGTTAGCTGACATCGTTCTACTGCACAACAATCAAATCCACCTATTAATTTCTGTTTCTGAATATTTCGTTTAGTTATTTTTGTTTTTGATTCTTTTACAATTTGGGAAACGAAATGGAGTCAAAGTTCCATGCTTTTATGTTTCCTTGGTTTGCTTTTGGTCATATGATTCCGTTTCTACATCTTGCAAACAAACTAGCTGAGAAAGGTCATCGGGTTACTCTCTTGCTACCCAAGAAAGCTCAAAAACAGTTGGAACATCACAACCTGTTCCCGGACAGTATTGTCTTTCATCCTCTCACAATCCCTCCTGTCAATGGCCTCCCTGCTGGTGCTGAGACAACCTCGGATATCTCAATCTCGATGGGCAAGTTCTTGTCCGAAGCCTTGAATCTCACTCGTGATCAGGTTGAAGCTGCGGTTCGTGCTTTGAGACCAGACATAATCTTCTTCGATTTTGCTCATTGGATTCCAGAATTGGCTGAAGAGCATATGATCAAGAGTGTGAGTTATATGATAGTATCTGCAACAGATATAGCTCATACACTTGTCCCTGGCGGTGCATTAGGTGTTCCCCCACCAGGTTATCCTTCATCAAAGGTGTTGTTTCGTGAAAACGATGCTCATACCTTAGTAACCTTATCCATCTTCTACGAGAGACTTTATCATCGGATTACTACAGGCTTTAAGAGCTGTGATGTCATTGCACTTAGGACATGCAAAGAAATGGAAGGTAAATTCTGCAACTATATATCGCGTCAATACAATAAAAAGGTTCTCTTGACTGGTCCAATGTTGCCTGAGCCAGACACAAGTAAACCACTAGAAGAACGTTGGAGCCAATTTCTGAGCAAGTACCCACCGGGCTCAGTAGTGTTTTGTGCACTTGGCAGCCAAATCGTTCTTGAGAAGGATCAATTCCAAGAACTCTGCTTAGGGATGGAGATGACTGGTTTACCGTTTCTTGTAGCACTAAAGCCACCAAGAGGCTCATCGACGATCCAAGAAGGCTTACCAGAAGGGTTCGAGGAGCGGGTGAAGGGGCGCGGTGTGGTCTGGGGGGGATGGGTGCAGCAGCCTTTGATATTGTCTCATCCATCAGTCGGCTGCTTTGTGAACCATTGCGGTCCTGGAGCAATATGGGAGTGTCTTATGAGTAATTGCCAAATGGTTTTAATTCCATTTCTAAGTGATCAAGTGCTCTTCACAAGATTGATGACTGAGGAGTTCGAGGTCGCTGTAGAAGTGTCCAGGGAGAAAACAGGATGGTTTTCAAAGGAGAGCTTGAGTGATGCGATTAAGTCAGTGATGGATAAAGATAGTGACATTGGGAAGCTAGTGAGGAGTAACCATGCTAAATTAAAGGAGGTTCTTGTTAGTCCTGGACTATTGGATGGTTACGTGGATAACCTTGTGGAGGCATTGGTTGATTTGATCAATGTCAAGAAACATGATTAAATCTAATATTATATGCTTTGTATGATTGGGGAGACAAGAGTTCTTCTTGACGACTCAAACTTTTATTTTATGATGAATATATATATTTTTTTTTGTTTAATGTTAAAATTTATACCAAATTATAATGAGGTTCACATTTTACACACTGATATGAATCAGGCAATGCTTCTCAATGATAAACGAGCCAAAATGTTCACCAACACTTCCTCTCCTCATCTTTCTTTAGTATTATCTTTTTAGAATCTTTTGGTCATCACTAATCGTTGTCACGAAGTGGTATTTGATTAAGAGAATTCCATACCAATAACCTTTTTATGATATATTCTTTTAAAAATATCATTTTTTTTTTGTCATTTTCATTTTTGCTCTCTGTTAAATTTTAATGACCATTTTACCCCTATTTGAAAGAATATTTTTTCACAAAGGAAGGAATATTCCTTCCAAAAATTTCCCCCCCCCCCAAAAATTTTCCGCCAAAAGCTTTCCCGCGAAAAACTTTTCCCGCAAAAAAAATATTTTTACCAAATTTTCCCAACAAAGACTTTTAAAGGGTTTACAACAATTTTTAAAGGGTCTTTTAAAGGGTTTAAAAGGGTTTTTAAAGGGGTTTACAAAAGTTTTTAAATGGTTTTTAAAGGGTTTTAGAAGCTTACAAAGGTTTTTAAATGATTTACAATGGTTTTTAAAAGTTTTTATAAGTTTATAAAAGTTTTAAAAGGTTTTACAAGGATTTTTAAAAGATTTTAAAAGGATTTACAAGGATTTTAAAAAGATTTTAAAAAATTTACAAGGAACTTTAAAAGTTTTAAAAGGATTTACAAGTGTTTTTAAAGACATACAAGGATTTAAAAATAGTTTTAAAGGGTTTTAGAAGTTTACAGAGGTTTTCAAAGGGTTTACAAAAGTTTTTAAAGGTATTACAAGTTCTTTAAAATGGTTTTTAAGGATTTACAAGGGTTTTTAAAGGGTTTTAGAAGTTTACAAAAGTTTTTATTAAATGATTTATCACGGTTATAAGGGGTTTAAAGGGATTTACAAGTGTTTATAAATGTTATAAACTGATTTACAATGGCTTTAAAAGGTTTACTCAAGTTTTGAAAGGTTTTGGATGACTTTTAAAAGATTTACAAGGGTTTTAAAAGAATTTTTTAAGGAATTGGGGAAAAATTTTGGCGAGAAAATTTTTGTCGGAATTTTTTTGGCGGAAAATTTGTTTTGGTGGGAAATTTTTTGTCGGAAATTTTTAGCGGGAAAATTTGTCGGATTTGTGGCGGGAAAATTTGGCGGGAATATTCCTTTCTTTATCATGGGTTATAATAAAGGAGGGTAATTTAGTCATTTTGTACATTGAAGAGGGTATTTTTGAAAATGGATACTTAGAGAGGGTTCTTGTAGAAAAGGGATAAAACGATTAGTTGTGCAAATCCGCCTTTGATTAATAAGTCTAAACTAATTAATGACTATATAAAATTTATATGTAAGATCTTTGATAGGAAAAATAATATGAGTGAATTTCAAAAATACCACTTTTCCATATAAACAATACCCATTTTTAAACTTTATCAAAAAAACCACAAAAAATATTGAAATCTATCCAAATATGTGTGTAAGGTTAAAAATATATACACAAACTACCTTTGTATATCTTTCATAAATAACGTAAAAATGACTTATAAAAACTTGTTAAAAACCTTATAAACCTTTTTAAAAACCTTATAAAACTTATAAAAACCATTTAAAACCATTTAATATTTTTTAAAATATTTGTATCGAATCTCCCTGTATTAGTTATTATATAGAAGTATCTTATAAACTATAGAAAACTTTATAATTTTTTATATTTAAACAAGGGTATTTTTAACATGGATAGATAAATGGAATATTTTTAAATATTGTACACCAGAAGGGGTATTTCTCAAAAATTCTCAAATAATAATTATAAATCATCCGTATTATTAATTAAGGGTATAACATTAATATATATATCACCACACCTTAATCTGTATTATCAAATAAATACTATGATTAGCCGAGAATGTTGATTTTATATTATTACTACCTCTGTTTTACAAAAACAACGTCTTAAAATTTAATTATTGTTTCATATTCTTTCAATTTTTGTTTTCAATGCAGTTTTCACTCTATTTTTTTTTAATGCAAATGGATTTGTGTTTTGAGTGAAAACTTTTTAGAATAAATAATATGAATAAAAAAATCTACATAACTAAAAACTATAAGAAAAATAAATGAAGTAAATCAAAGTAAAAAAAGAAAATTATTCTAATCTAATTAATTGGCGACACTGCAACCTAGCCCTCGGAATAAAAACCAGAACCAAAAAACCAAACCAAAACCGACCCGAAAATAACTCATTCGGTTTGGATTTGGTTATTGCCTAAATAACCAATGGATATTGTTCTTCTCTACCCGTGGATATCGGGTCGGATCCGCATACCAAGAACCGAATGGGTTCTCGTTTACCCGGATCTAGAGTAAACCTAATCTATTTTTTTCCTTCCATTTGTTTTTATTTTTGGATATTTTGCTACATTTCATATATAAACGGGTCTATTTTACCTGAACCAAATGGATATCCAAGTATTGATATAATACGATTCCAAAAGTGTAAAACCGAACCGATCCAGAACCGAGAGGATCCAAACTGATCGGTTCTTACCCGAAACCGATCCGAATACTCATATGCCCAGGACTACTGCAACCTCCGTTCCATAGTTTTGAAACTTTTTATTTTGTCATAAAATCTTATTTATTAAATAATTTACATAAACATTACAAAACCTCAGGATAATGAGTTGGTGACACTGCAACCTCAATTTTGTAATTTTTGATGTGTCGATGGATATAAAATTATTTGACTCCCGAAAATAATGTTTGATGAACGTAATTATTTTATAAACATGTATGCTCAGCGTGGCGAATACAAATATGTTGAGGACAATAAGTATTTCATAACAAAAATAATTGAGGATATAAAATAAGAGATTATACTCTCGTAGTCGTTGTGTTGACCAAATACATATAAGCAGATTTTTCTTATTGCAAAATTGATATGAAATTTAATAATTTTCTTCGTCAAAACTATATTTGAAACCCTAAGAAACCATTTTATCGTGGTAAAATTTGTTTTTTTGTATAACTATGGGATCATTATTAGTCAGTCGAATGTAAATAACCTTCCAAGAAATTCAATTTAAGAAGAACAAAAGAAAATAGTTTATTGTGACGAACATAATCGAATTCTTGAAAACGAACGTATATTTCTCAATTAGTAAAGCAAAAGAGTGTGTGTTTAACGTGATTATATATATTTCTTTTAAATTTATTCAAAGTCATATCATTATGACATGATATCTTAATTAATTAGCTCTTCCTCGCTAGCACTAAGATTTTGTTCTTCTTCGCTATCTTATCTTCTGAATTATTGGCTTAAAAATGTATTTGATCACGTGTGCTTCTGTAATATTCTACTAAATTTATTAATTCATTAGACCAATTCTCCAACTTCAAATAAGGGTGTTTTAGTGGACAACAATCAAATCAAGAAAAGAAGAAAAAAACAGAAGTTTACAAAAAGAAATATTCAAGAACTACTTTTTGAGTTCTTGAATAATCTGTTTAGTTTTTCTTTTACAATATGGGAAACGAAATGGAGTCAAAGTTCCATGCTTTTATGTTTCCTTGGTTTGCTTTTGGCCATATGATTCCCTTTCTACATCTTGCAAACAAACTAGCTGAGAAAGGTCACCGAGTTACTTTCTTGCTACCCAAGAAAGCTCAAAAACAGATGGAACATCACAACCTATTCCCGGACAGTATTGTCTTTCACCCTCTCACAATCCCTCATGTAGATGGCCTCCCTGCCGGTGCCGAGACAACCTCAGATATCTCACTCTCGTTAGACAACTTGTTGTCCGAAGCCTTCGATCTCACTCAAGATCAGGTTGAAGCTGTGGTATGTTATTTGAAACCAGACATAATCTTCTTCGATTTTGCTCATTGGATTCCGGAATTGGCTAAAGAGCATAAGATCAAGAGTGTGAGTTACATGATAGTATCTGCTACAGCTCTAGCTCATATAAATGACCCTGGTGTTCCATTTGGTGTTCCCCCACCGGGTTATCCTTCAACGAAAGTGTTGTTAGGTGAAAACGATGCTCATGCCTTAGCCACCATGTCGATCTTCTATGAGAGACTTTATCACCAGCTCACTACAGGTTTTAACAACTGTGATGTCATTGCACTTAGGACATGCAACGAAATGGAAGGTAAATTCTGCGACTATATATCGCGTCAATACAATAAGAAGGTTCTCTTGACTGGTCCAATGCTGCCTGAGCCAGACACAAGTAAACCACTAGAAGAACGCTGGAGCCATTTTCTGAGCAAGTTCCCACCGGGCTCAGTAGTGTTTTGTGCACTTGGCAGCCAAATCGTTCTTGAGAAGGATCAATTCCAAGAACTCTGCTTAGGCATGGAGATGACTGGTTTACCGTTTCTTGTAGCACTAAAGCCACCGAGAGGCTCCTCGACGATCCAAGAAGTCTTACCAGAAGGGTTTGAGGAGCGGGTGAAGGGGCGCGGCGTGGTATGGGAAGGATGGGTGCAACAACCTTTGATATTGTCTCATCCATCAGTAGGCTGCTTTGTGAACCATTGCGGTCCCGGAACAATATGGGAGAGCCTGATGACTGATTGCCAATTGGTTTTAATTCCATTTTTAAGTGATCAAATGCTCTTCACAAGATTGATGACCAAAGAATTCGAGGTCGCTGTAGAAGTGTCGAGGGAAAAAACAGGATGGTTTTCGAAGGAGAGTTTAAGTGATACGATCAAGTCAGTGATGGATAAAGAGAGTGACCTTGGGAAGCTAGTGAGCAGTAACCACACCAAATTGAAGGAGGTACTTTTTAGTCCTGGACTATTGGATGGTTACGTGGATAACTTTGTTGAGGCATTGGCTGATTTGATCAATGTCAAGAAGCATGCTTAAATCCAAAACTATATGTTATATCTAAGATTGGAGAGACAAAAGTTCTTTTCGACTCAAAATTGTATTTAATTATGATGAATATTGGTAACGATATTAAATAAATGTGGAACTAAATTCTCAAGATATATAATAATTAGGTACAATGGCTTTATGGCTAACTTAGAAGACATATAGTTTAGAAACTTAAAACAATGCAATAACACCGAGTACTCCGAACCCTTGCAAGACTATATGTTAGTTCTGGACCTCGAAGCTAACAAATGTCGCATGATCTTTACTTGGATAGCTAAAATTCAGTTTCTAAATCTTATTAATCGTCAAAGTTTGGCAAGCTAACAAATGTCACATTTCTTTACTTTTTACTTAATTTTTTTTTATATAAATTGATTTCTAATGGAGATTTGTTTTGATCGTTCTTAAAATGTTACCAAATAGGCAACGAACTCTTAAAATGTTGTGTATTGGGTGAGGTGGCAATCGAGTATTATGATCGTTTTATGGTATGTATTTTGCGTTGATGGAAGGTATATCAATTTAATTTATTGAGTGTTAGAGACACGTTTGTATCAATAGTTATCCACTGGTTTCAAACTTCTCTGAAAGAGAGGTTTTTTTTTTGTATATATATATATACAACATGAAAACATGCAAATAGTGATTTATAATGAGGGGAAAATAGCGAAAATCAACCTAAACTATTTATTGGCGGTATTTTTATACCCAAACTATGATATCCGGTAAATATCAATCAAACCTCATACAAAATTCAAATTTTCAACCTATACTATATAAAATCAGCCAAAATCAACCTATACCAAAACGGTATTAGTTAACCACTTAACGACGATGAGTCAGCATACACCGTAGCAGTGACAAAATATCGGAGTTTAGGAAAACGAAATCGTTTCGTGATTTTAGAGTTCTCGAATTGAAGATTTGATTCGGAAACCTTAAACTCACGAAACTACGTCATATAACCCTAATACAGAATTTCAAATATCAGGTTTTACATTTGAAATTTGTGTACAACAAATTATACAAAAAAAATCACCGTAAATTATAAAAATCGTATAAAAATTTAATTAATCTCAAATTACTCAAAATACAAAACTAAATACATCTACTATCTCGTAATACTTATGACGACAGTTGGGCAGTGAGAAATAAGTTATTGATAAGTGCAACAAATGCTGCTGGACCCTTCATGTTTATTGACGTTTTGTATGTAGACATAATTTTAGATTTAATCATGTCTTAACATTGATCAGATCAGCCAATACCTCAACAAAGTTATCCACGTAACCATCAAATAGTCCAGGACTACCAAGAACCTCCTTCAATTTCGTATGGTTACTCCTCACTAGCTTCCCAAGGTCGTTGTCTTTATCCATCACAGACTTGATCGCATCTCTTAAGCTCTCCTTTGAAAACCATCCTGTTTTTTCCCTCGACACTTCTACAGAGACTTGGAACTCCTCGGTCATCAATCTTGTGAAGAGTACTTGATCACTTAGAAATGGAAGCAAAACTATTTGGCAATCACTCATCAAACCCTCCCACAATGTTCCGGGACCGCAATGGTTCACGAAGCAGCCTACTGATGGATGAGACAATATCAAAGGCTGCTGCACCCATTCTCCCCAAACCACACCACGATCCTTCACCCGCTCCTCGAACCCTTCTGGTAAAGCTTCTTGGACCGTCGATAAACCTCTCGGTGACTTTACTGCTAAAAGAAACGGTAAACCAGTCATCTCCATCCCCAAGCAGAGTTCTTGGAATTGATCCTTCTCAAGAACGATTTGGCTGCCAAGTGCGCAAAACACTACTGAGCCCGGTGGGAACTTGCTCAAAAAATGGCTCCAACGTTCTTCTAGTGGTTTACTTGTGTCTGGCTCAGGCAGCATTGGACCTGTCAAGAGAACCTTCTTATTGTATTGACGCGATATATAGTCGCAGAACTTACCTTCCATTTCTTTGCATGTCTTAAGTGCAATGGCATCACAACTCTTAAGACTTGTAGTGAGCTGATGATAAAGTCTCTCGTAGTAGATCGAGTCGGTTAGTACGGCGTGAGCATCGTTTTCACGGAACACCACCTTTGATGAAGGATAACCCGGAGGGAGAACACCTAATGAACTACCAGGGGGATGTAACTGAGATACAGCTGTAGCAGATACTATCATGTAACTTACACTCTTGAACATATGCTCTTTAGCCAATTTTGCAATCCAGTGAGCAAAATCGAAGAAGATTAGGTCTGGTTTCAAAGCACGAACCGCAGCTTCAACCTGATCATGAGTGAGATCGAACGCTTCGGACAAGAAGTTGTCCATCGAGATTGGGACATCCGAGGTTGTCTCAGCACCGACAGGAAGGCCATTGACATGAGGAACAGTGAGAGGGTGAAAGACAATACTCTCTGGAAACAAGTTATGAGGTTCCAACTGTTTTTGAGCTTTCTTGGGTACCAAGAATGTTACCCGGTGACCTTTCTCAGCTAGCTTGTTTGCAAGGTGTAGAAAGGGAATCATATGACCAAAAGCAAACCATGGGAACATAAAAGCATGGAACTTTGACTCCATTTCGTTTCCTAAATATTCTTTTTAAAATTTCTCTTTTTTGTTTTTCCTTCGTCTCTTGATTTGATTGTTGCTCAGTGAAACACCTTTATATAAACGTGGAGACTGGTTTGATGAATTGAGATATTTTGTGGATTACAAAGGCACACGTCATCGAGTGATCAAGAGAAGAGAGACATGCCACAGAAGGACACAGCCAAAAACATGTCACAAAAGTTTAGCGAATAAGAACATGACAAGAAAAACAAACATGCACAAAAGTTGTAATTTAACTCGTCGTACACTGTGTAATAACTCTTACTGCATAAGTATTTTTGTCCACCGACATAGCTGAATGTGTATATATTATACACTCTTGTATTCGAGGAACTAGACTAATGAAGGTATTAGGTATGTAATGTTCTGTTGGTAACAATGAAAGGTTATGTTAGTGTTTCAAATATAGTTTATTTTTTGAATAATCAAAGAGGTTCTTGAACGAAGTCCATACATTTTTTAGGCCCGAAAGCAGAGCATGTTATATGGTTTCGTCCCAAACGCTACTCGAACCAGCGACCTCTGAGCTTTTGTCAGAAATTTTTACCAATTGAGATATTAGCACTTGATTCAAATATAATTTCGAAGAAGAAAATTAATTAATAGATTCCATATCGAATTTTATAAAGAAATGTTTTAACCATATACCATAGATATTTATGTGTTTTAGTATACGATCGATGTTTATTTTCCACGATATGTGCGATGTATTTAAATTTCTTGTCCACGCACGAAGTTAAAGTGGTTACACGCCATTATGTCTTTGGTCCATGCGTTTATGTTTTTGGTCCACGTCAGGGCTCTTGTCTCCATGTTTGTCAATTATTGTAGCAACTAGAGTAAATAATTTCCAAAACATATATGTGTACCGTGGAGACTGGAGATGATAGGTTTACTGTTTTTTGTAGCAGTAAAGCCAAGCCAAAATGGAGGCTCATCGATCGGTCCAAGAAGGTTTAACAAGAGGGGCAGCATTTGATATTGTCTCATGAGTCATGACTCATCCATCAGTAGGCTGCTTTGTGAACCATTGAGGTCCCTAGGAATACGGGAGTGCCTAATGACTTGGTTGCCAAATGTTTTAAATTCGTGATTCACAAGATTGACTATAATCAAGTCGTTTGTTAGAATGGGATTGAGAGTTGCCTATCTCCCAATATGTTTTATATTTGGTCTTTTCGACATTTCTTCGTTTGCATTATCAAACTTAACATGTCTCTATCCTCATCGTCTAACGACTCGGGTATGTTCGATTGCACCTCTTTTTTTTGAAATTGCTTTTATTTGAATGAGGATCTTGGTTGACCAAAAAAATTATGTTACCTATCTTAAAGAGAGCTTAAGATTTGAGAATCAAGAGTTCTTCTTGAGTCAAACTTATATTCTATGAGTATCAATATATTATATTCAAATAATTTTCTAAAACACATGCTTCAGAACCATGACCCCTTAAGCAGAACTCAAGAGACTCTAAAACTGAGGCCAAACTTGCATCTGAACCTTCCAGACCTATTTAAGAAGCAAGAATATTGATTATTATCAAGGAAGATTCTCTTACATACCATTAAAATATTTTTTTTTTCCACAAATACCATTCTGAATTTTATTTTCAAAAAATACCACTAAAATACATTTTTCCAAAAAAACCACAAACATAAAATCTTACATTTTTAACATTCAAAACTAGTTTCTAAATCCTAAACAATAAATCATATCCCTAAAAACTATATCCTAAATATGAATAGTGAACCCCAACATTAAAAAAAAAAATTTATACCTTCAAAAAACAGTTTTGTAAGTTTATGGTATTTAAAAAAAATACAAATTATGGTATTTTTGAAAAAAAAAAATGTGTTATCCAAGAAAAATTCTTTATAATCAAACCCTACTAAGAAGCCACCAAGAGTTTTGGCCTATGAAAGTATCTATACTGTTAAAAGGGAATCATTTTGTATAAAGTGAGCATAGTATATACAATTAGAAAGTGTAAAGCCAAAAATTACTATCTATACTATTAAAAGGATAATTAAAATTACAATTTTGGCGGGAAAATTGCTAATTTACGTTTTTGGCGGGAAAATTGCGAGTTTATGTTTTTGGCGGGAAATGGCAAAATTACATTTTTTGCGGAAAATTGCGAAGTTACGTTTTTGGCCGAAAAATTACGGATTTACGTTTTTGGCGGGAAAATTGCAAAGTTACATTTTTGGCGGAAAATTACGGATTTATGTTTTTGGCACCCCTATACATATATGGTGTGGACTATATAAATATTTCATAACAAATAATTCAAATTTGCATTAGTTTGTCCATCAAAACTAAAGTTTATGAAATTAAAAGAAAAAACTTACTTAAGAAAAAACTTACTTAAGAAAAAACTTACTTTCTAGCGAACACACGCACTGCGGCCTAGTCGCCTGGACTAAAAATATAAAACGCCTGGACCAAAACATAAATCGTGGACCAATACCATAATGGTGCATAACCAATGTCATGGACCAAAAACTCAGTTTTATAACTCAACTCATCCAGGTTGTAATACACTCGTCTAATAGTATTGTCCTGGTGTGAGACGGTAAAAGTCTCCAAAAACGTGTAGAGTAACAACACAACCATTGCAAGTATAGAATCATTTACTTGGATCCATCTCTCATTCACATATATCACACCAGTATTTTCCACTTGCATTTTCTTTGCCAGGTAAAGACAGTGGATACGGTTTTTTGTTACTATAGGCTTTGTTGTAATGCAATGGTGTTTATGGTTTAACATGGGAGAACAAATAAGAAATCAAAATGCATCCCAAATGATAAGACATGTACCTAAATTAAATACCATTGCTCGCATTTATAGACGACATCAGAGTAAGCTTCAACGCGTATGCTTCCACCATGAGTAGTACCATCCTTACTCAGGTTTTAATCATATATGCTCTTCATGACTGAAATGATTTATCAAGTTATCACCCATCTCCTAGAATATTGCTATATATTCAGGTTCTTCAGGACTCTCTACGAAATCTATCCCATCCCATAGATCGTCAAAAACATATATACATGGTGAACACATATATGGTGTGGGACTATAAATATTTCATAACAAATAATTCAGATTTGCATTAGTTTGTCCATCAAAACTAAATGGGACGTGACAAAAGTTTCTTTTTACTATCTTAGCTAGCTAGGTGGGAAATAATTGACAAACGTACAGACACTGTGGCCTGGACCAAAACATGTGTTGTGAACATCAACACATATAAATCGTGGACCAATACCATAATGGCTTGTAACCAACGGAACCAAAAACTCAGTTTTATAACTCAACTGATGAACGCTCATCCAAGTTAGTGCAAGAGACTTTGCGTCACTTAAGATGCGTTAAAACGACTAGAATTTATCAATCGCAAGTTAGCTATTCAAACCAAATATGCATTAAGAAGAAACCTAAAACGAAGATATAAGATGAACACCCAATATCTAAAATAGCCCTAGTTTAAAAATCGTCAATGAATTTTTTTTTTCATCAACAATAAAAAAAACTTGATGCAAGAGAGTTGTTACATGTCCTTTCCTTTAATATAAACAAAATAGGACATTTTCATCAACCATATTAGTTAATCACGAAGGTTATTCGCAAACTCGAGATAGTAGACATGTTCATCTTTCATGAACTCTAAGTCTATCTTGATCTTACATATAAATATATAAATATATATATATATATATATATATAGGTGAAAATATATAAAGACGATGGAATTGAGATAAACCTCTATCGAGTGAAGCTATTTTTTTTATCTTCGAATCAATGACTCAAATACATATACATACTAGTAATTCTTATACCCATTTGAATTTCCGTGACTATAATAAAAAGAAAAATTCGTATAGCCACGAAATTTTTGTGGCTATATTAAAAAAATCTTAACTAAAGCTACGAATATTAAGGTTCAATGAAAATTTAAGTAGTTATAGAAACTTTTTTTACTAGTACTGTATATAGAAGATGCATCAAGGAGAGACTTGAAAGAAGGAAATAAAATATTGTATGTGAAGATGCATTACAAGTTCATCGTGACTCGTGAGGTTTCTTTTATGATAGCAGATTCGTGAAAACGAATGCACAAGTGACTTAAATACAAATCATTAAATTATGTGACCAAACACCCAATAAAGAGCTACTTTTAGCAAGTTTATCTTCCAATTAAAAAAATTGCACGCCAATCATGCAAAATGAAAAAAAATACGCAGTATAAACCGTTTTTGTTACCGTCTAACTATATTTAGAAATCTAATATAATAAGCGTAGAAACGTTTAAAAGATACATATAAAAATTCTATTGCGTATTATTTTTGATTTTATAGGATTAATTTGTATTTTTAGAAAATAAAGGGTAAAGTTACCAAATATGATGATTTGGAGGAATTTTGTTTGAAAAAGTCCAATTTTTTTTTCCGGTAATCCGGTTGTTGTAAAGTTTTGTAATAAGAGACATTTCTTAACATTTTTTTGCTTAAGATTTTCTTAAGAGCTCATCAATTATGATGGTCTTTTTTTTTTGCTATATATCTTCTCTTGTGACACGTTTTTAATTAACCATTTTTTCTTCTTTTGATACGTGTGCTTCTGTAGTCTATTAAGTTCTCACTAAATATCCCAATTCACTAACCAGTCTCCAAATTTATATAAGAGGCGTTTCATGCACAACAAAAGACAAAGAAAAGAAAGAAGCCGATACTTCCTTTTGAGTTCTTGAATACTTGTTTAGTTGTTTTAAAACAAATTTGTTTTGTGTTTAAAAAATATGGGAAAGGAAATGGAGCCACCAAAGTTCCATGCTTTTATGTTCCCATGGTTTGCTTTTGGTCATATGATTCCGTTTCTACATCTTGCAAACAAACTAGCTGAGAAAGGTCACCGGGTCACATTCTTGGTACCCAAGAAAGCTCAAAAACAGTTGGAACATCACAACATGTTCCCGGACAGTATTGTCTTTCACCCTCTCACGGTACCTCATGTCAATGGTCTCCCTGTTGGTGCCGAGACAACCTCGGATATCTCAATCTCGGTGGACAACTTCTTGTCTGAAGCCTTGGATCTCACTCGCGATCAGGTTGAAGCTGCGGTTCGTGCTTTGAAACCGGATTTGATCTTCTTCGATTTTGCTCGCTGGATTCCAGAATTAGCTAGAGAGCATAAGATCAAGAGTGTGAGTTACATGATAGCATCTGCTACTTCCGTAGCTCATATACATGCCCCTGGTGGTCCATTAGGTATTTCCCCACCGAGTTATCCTTCATCGAAGGTGTTCTTTCGTGGGAATGATGCTCATACCATGACGGCCTTCTACAAGAGAGTTTGTCATCAGCTCACTACTGGTTTTAAGAGCTGTGATGTCATTGCATTGAGAACATGCAAAGAAATTGAAGGTAAATTTTGCGATTATATATCTAGTCTATACCATAAGAAGGTTCTCTTGACCGGTCCAATGCTTCCTGAGCCAGACACAAGTAAACCACTAGAAGAACAGTACTGGAGCCAATTTCTTAGCGGGTTCCCACATGGGTCAGTAGTGTTTTGTGCATTTGGCAGACAAACTGTTCTTGAGAAGGATCAGTTCCAAGAACTCTGCCTAGGGATGGAGATGACAGGTTTACCCTTTCTTTTAGCAGTAAATCGACCGAGAGGATCGTCAACGGTCCAAGAAGGGTTACCAGAAGGGTTCGAGGAGCGCGTGAAGGGGCGTGGTCTAGTTTTGGAAGGATGGGTGCATCATACTTTGATATTGTCTCATCCATCAGTAGGTTGCTTTGTGAACCATTGCGGTCCGGGAGCAATATGGGAGTGTCTGATGAGTGATTGTCAAATTGTTTTAGTTCCAATTCTAAATGATCAAGTTCTCTTCACAAGATTGATGACCGAGGAGTTAGAGATCTCCGTAGAAGTGTTAAGGGAAAAAACAGGATGGTTTACAAAGGAGAGCCTAAGGGATGCGATCAAGTCTGTGATGGATAAAGAGAGTGACCTTGGGAAGCTAGTGAGGAGTAACCATGCTAAACTGAAGGAGGTTCTTGGTAGTCCTGGACTATTGGATGGTTACGTGGATAACTTTGTTGAGGCATTGTCTGATTTGATCAATGTCAAGAAGATCTAAAATTATACGTTCCTCTTGAGTCAAACTTATAATTTATGATGAAGATTATATAATGAATAATAATAAATCAATAATAAAGAGGATGGTTCGGTTGAGATACCTTAATTTTTTACAAATTTAAGTCACACAAATCAATTAAACTAGCTAAAACTAAACTATTAATTGCTTAATTGTTGCCTATAATGCAAGTAAGAAACAAAGCGGAATAAAAGCGATGTGGATTCATGGATTTAAAACATGCTTCATAAGGTAGCTTTCATAGTTAGAGTTGCGAGTTACATAATCCACCTAACAAGACTAGTGGATGATAGCTTGAGTTAATGAGAACCATAATCCCATAAGCATAATTCCAAAAAAATAAAAATATAATCAACATAACTTGATTGTTTATGGAAAAGTTTGTGATTTAAATAATATTTTTTTCCAATAGTTCTGGATAAATAGTTATTAAATATATCACCAATATTATTAAATTGGTGGCTGGATTAAAATCACAATTATTTATGGGACTTTTAATTTGCAAAATAAACGTCAAATTCGTTTTTTTATGGAATAAGTGGATTTAAATAACTATTATTTAGAACATCACCATCAGTCGATAATTGAAAAAGAAGAAGACGAAAGGAAAGACGTTTACAAAACGGAGAGACATTTCTGTATTTAATGAGATAGATAGTTGTCGTTTCACTAACGATTTGACTTGAATGAATAACCAATAATGAGTGTAGCCAATCTACAAATAAGCTTTATCAAGCTTTGGTATTGATAATTAAATATATAATGGATTATTCAAATTTGGTGAATATGGTGTCTTCTCTAATAAAATGGCATCGTTTACTACGTATTCAGATGAGATATTTACACATAAAAGATTGTATTTTTTACGTATTTAGATGAGATACTTGCAGATAAAAAAATGTATTTCTTTCTAGTTAATATTTCTGGTTATTCTAATATTAAAACGGATTATTTAGCACACAAAATGCGTTTTGAACCGCATCTATGTTCCTCGTTCGAGTCTTGACTCGTTTGAGTGTGTTGACAAAAAAGAACAATATAACTAAAATATTTGTTATTGTGTTTGTGATGCTTTCAATCTTCTCTTATCTCTATCGATGGAGAATTTATTAGATATGAGACCACTATTATTTCGGTGACCATATTTGTAGAGTTGCGATCATGTGGCGCACAAGCACAACATAGTTATATCAGTCATTAAGTTCATGACATCGATATATTGGCAAATTAGCAACCAAAATGTGTCGTTGTAATATTGGGCCATCTTAGTTATGAAACTACGCCAACAATTAAACCATAGGGAGAATTATTTAGATATACTACAATTGTATGTTTATTCCTTAAACAGCCAAATCTTTTTTTTATTTCTTAGATGTCTTTCAAAATGGGTGTAATTACAATTAACACCCTTGGTCTGTTTTCTCTTAAAATTGCCACATCAGATCCGAAATTGCCACATCAGATCCAAAATTGCCACATCATCACCGACAGTTATTCTTTCATTAATTACAAAAGAGAAACTAAACAGTTTCTTTCTCTTCACTGTTCACAATTGAAAAAAAAAAAAAAAAAGTTTCTCTCTCGCGACAGAGAAATTCCTCGCCGCCGACGACGAAGACAAAACTCGCCTTCTACACAGTACTCGCCGCCGACGCTCTCTCTGTTTCGGTCTTCAAACTCGCCTTTAGTCGCTGTGAAGAGAAGAAGTCGCCGTGAGTTCGTCGTAGTTTCTTTGCTGCATTCGAGACCTTTCGTATTCCGGTAAGTGTCGAACTGTATTTCCGACTATACTCGTGTTTGTTTTTGCTTATTATGGTTGATTGTCGCCGTCGTTTGCTCTATTCATTCGACGGCTGAGTTACAGTATTCGTGACGGCTGATTTGTCAGATCTATAGATTCGACGACTGAGTTACTTATCATGTTATGGCTGAGTTACTTATCATGTTATGGCTGAGTTGTCTTACTTTGTTATTGATGCGGCTGAGTTATAATATTTGTTATGGCTCACTTAGTAACTTGTTTTAAGTTGTGGCTGAGTTATAGTTTATGTTGTGGCTGAGTTATAGTTTAAGTTGTGGCTGAGTTATAGTTTATGTTGTGGCTGAGTTATAGTTTATGTTGTGGCTGAGTTATAGTTTATGTTGTGCTGAGTTATAGTTCATGTTGTGGCTGAGTTATAGTTCATGTTGTGGCTGAGTTATAGTTTATGTTGTGGCTGAGTTATGATGTTTTTATACTTATCTCAGATGGCTGCAGAACAAGCAATGCGTTACCCACCGAGACTTTACGAAGAAGGGATGTCTAGCCTCAAGAAAAAAAGCATGTGTACCTATTTTAGGATGGCAGATTTCCCTGGGGTTAGGGAATCAATTGGACAAGACGCGTGGGATGAGATCAAGCAATTACCTCTTGGAATAGTTGCTAAATTAGTTGAAAGAAAATTCGTTTGGTCTGCTAAGACTGTACACTATCTATTGTGTAATCAGTTGAGAATTAAACACAAAGAGCTTTGGTGTTTAGTTGGTGGCCAGCCTATAAGGTTTGGTTTGAATGAATTCGCTCAACTCACGGGGTTAAACATAGATCCAACTCCATCAGAGAAGTTTGAACCTTCAGTTGACTTCAAACAGTTCTTAACAGAAGAATTGAAAGTTCACGGTGGGGAAGGTCCAACATATGATGAGCTAATTAAAGGATTATTAGTGTGCCGGTCATGGTCTGTTGAG